TACAAACCTAATGAAACTGACATACTTAAGAAACTTTACTCTTTGTTAGCAATCATTGCTAATATTTATTGAACGGTTACTATGTGGGAAATGCTGTTCCAAGTGTGATAGATGTATTAATTTACTTAATCCTCACACCCACTCTAATTTCCTAGGTACTATTGTCAGACTTATTTTACAGACGGGAAAAGGGAAAAGCGAGGTATAGAGAAGGTAAGTAACTTTTCCAAGGTCACATGGCTATTCCGTAGCAGAGCTGTGATTCAAATCTAAGCGGTTTGGCACCAGAGCCTGTGCACTTAACTGCTTGCATCTCGGTTGGGAGCACTGACTGGTTCAGCTATTGGGAGGGAAAAAAGGGGATGGGGAAGCCACCTGCATAACCCCTAGCAGATTCTGGAATAAATATGCTTCAGAGCCATTCGCCTTGAAGCTGAGGAGGCATGGAAGCAGGCCACCTGTGTTCTGTACAGCATCACCAGGCTGGAAATCTGCCGTGGCTTTCCTTCATGCCATTACAATAGAGGATACAGATGAGGCTGCAGAGGCATCTTGATTTGAGAAAAGCATTTGATTGGATCTCATTAAATTTTAATCATAAACTGAATTCAAAATAAATTGAAAACTGGTTGACAGAGCACCAACAAAGGGTGATGATAAATGGTGATGCATCTAGAGGGGAGTTATCTTCCAGGGGACAACTCTAAGGCAAGGACGGATGGGATTTAATGAAGGTGTTATGTCCCCAGAAGAAGACAAATAGCGCAGCAAGGAACAGAGGAAGGGCAGGAGTGAGCAGCCTGAGTAATTAATAAACCGTATTAACAGCTCCTCCATAATCAGGCCTTGGTGATCACAACTGCTTGGATTTTTTCTTAAGGTTTTTTTGAGTCAGGAATAGGTTTGAAGAGTCCTGGAGACACACAGCATGAATATTTCAGGTGGACATTAAAAAGAAATCTATACATTTACAGCTGGGAGGATCCTGAGATCTACTTTGGATCAGAAACTTTCAATTACAAGGTTCCCAAGGCCTTACTTCATTCCCCAGAGAGTAATCTTTTTAATAAATGTCCAAAAGTCATGGATTTAAAAAAATATATATTTAAACTCATTAATGTCCTTTGTTTACTGCCCAAATGCATGCAAACTTTCATAACACTGTTTTGTTGAGTGGAAGGTTGGTTTTGAGTGAACTGTTTGGCTCAGATTCAAACTCAAATGAACAAATACTTCCAAGTTTACTTGCAGAATTTCCCAGACAGAGAAGTTCTTCCACTGGGCTTGCTGGAGGACTTGAAACAGTGGTGAGCCCTGGAAGGAAGGGAACATTTACTGGCCCTTGGACATAACCCAGCACAGTAAGACTCACATCAGGCTGAAGGCAGTGCAGTGTGAACCGACCTGATTTGAGGAAGTTTGCTCTGGGACTCCTCTGAGTTACTAAATGAGGAGGAGAAGGACTAATGGGAACACACTGACTCCATCACATCAGAAGTTATAATAAACATTTACAGAACAACCTCAAACCAGTCCATGTTTTTTGTTTGTTCTTTGTTTTGTTTTGTCATTGTCATTGTTTTGGTTTTTGTTTTTTTGTTTCTTCAGATAAGATGGTTTCTCTAAGCACACGTGTGATCCAAATTCAGCCCCAGCCACGGAGTGAAGGAGAGGAAGGGGCAGAAAGGAAGAATCAAGAGAGGAAGAGGAAGGGAGAGAAAGGAAGGAAGGAGAATGGAAGAGAAGTAAGGAAAGTGGGGAAATGCTGAAGGATTTTTTTGTATTTGCCTTTTATTGGTGTAGGAGAGACACTTAATGAACTTGTAATTTGTATGTAGTGCTGGGTATGAGAAGGGGCAGTTGGAAGGGAAAGCATGAATATAGGTAAAAGGCAAGAGGCTCATAGGGTAAGCTGGGAGGCCAGGAAGAGTTTGGACAGACAGCTCAGAGTAGGAAGAGAGTTCAGAGCTGGGAGGGAGACCTGTTGGCTCTGGGAAGGGGAAAGGGAAAAAACATTGGCATCCTGACTGCAGGGAAACAATGAGGCAGCGGAGACAAGTATCCCTCATTGCTGAGGGAGCTGCCAAGACCCAGGCAGCCTCGGTCTGAGGGGTGCGAGGAGAGGGGCACAGGCTGGGAACTTCGGTCAGTCCTGGCCCTCCACTTGAGTTCAGATGCCTTATCAGGGAGCCAAGCCAAACCAGCACAGACCTAAGGATCACCCCATGGATGGAAGCCCACCCTTCTTCAGCCAGTCTACAACTTCTGGTATCCGGGAAAGTCTGTGCACACACAAGGTGCGCGCACACAGCTACAGAGTGAGCTTAGTCACGGCCAAGCACGTGTGTGCTCCTAGGAGGCCTGCTGGACACGGGCGGCAAAGACTGTCAGTGGGAGAAAGGACAGCCTGGGTTTCATGAACTAAAAATATCTTGGTGACAACGCATTCGGAAGAAACAGGAGAGGCCCAGGGGGCAGCTTCTTGATTCCAATCCTCAGACACTTTCTCACGGAAAAATCCTTCAGACTGCAGGATTGTTTTGATAAGGAAATGTGATCAAACATTAGGGGTCATTTCATTGGATCTGAAAGGAATGTAAAGTTGAATGTGCCTCATCTGTGTTCTCTTTTTTTCCTGCAGCAGTTGCCTGCAATTCATATATGTTTTTAGAAGCTAATCTAAAATTGCCTGCAGCAGAAAAATGATTTGAATTCAGGATATTCCTGAGATTTCCATTCTGCAATGTGTAAAACATAGATTTAATTTAGACAAACTACCCCACCATAATCTTTCTGAATGCCTGTTGGAAGAATGCCTGCAAATATGACTGTCTTCTCCTCTTCTTTTTATTTTCAGAGCATTTGAAAGTCACTAACTCCTTAATCCCGGGAGAAGCAGGCTTTAACATTTCCTGTCTCTACACCCTCCAAAAATGAGTAACCCTGAGTTAAGAATCTTTCTATCCGACATGTTGGTACATTACCCAGACCTCACTCCTGTTTAGCCCACCCCACGCAAAGAACAGAGCAGAGTAACTACATTATCCATCTTTTGATGCTCCGTCATGGAGTGACTGGTAGCTGCAGCAGCAGATTAAGAATGACTGTGGTGTGTGGCCTTTAAGCATGAGAGCAAGGCTGGCAAGTGCACAACAGTTAGCCTGCTTTCATATAATGGTGCATCATTGTTTGAAAATAAAATCAGGAACTCATTGCAGGTGAACTATCTTGAAATTCCTGTCCTTTCATCCCAGGGGAATAGAGAGAAATGCCTAAAAACATGACATGGACTACACCAGGACATCCCACAAAAACAGATTAGCAATACCAAAAGCTCTGCACCAGCCCATCCCGGTCAGCTAGGGCCTATTTGAACTGTATTGATGGCAAGTAATTGCCAAAAAGAAACAATAACTTTTTTTTTTAAGTCACGGTCTGGAAAAAGTTAAGGATTCTGTGTATCCGCCATCTAATAATGTCTCTAATCACAGTCATCACCCTTACATGGTATTAGGATGTGTTTCACAGTTTCCCTTCCCCTCCCATTAAAGGCCCCACACACAGTGACTGGTCCAACTGAGGAGTGGTTTCCAGGTCCAGCTACAGCAGTAACTCTGGCTTCTGGAGCTGGGCTTGTCTGCCAGTTCTCTGGCCTGCCTTGACTCTGTTGGGAATAGCACGGACTATCCTTCCTGGGTAGCCCAAATGGGACATGAACTAATTCGAGAAACTCCCTGTTTTCTCCTATTTGGCTAGAGCCAATAATAAGGCCTCAATTCCAGGCAGCCCTCTGGCAGAGACACGTGTCCCCCAGCCTCTCCCGGCCTTTCACCCTGACTGCTGCTTTACCTTTTGCCTTGAGAGCAGACGAGTGAAACAGAAATCAAAGCAGTTGACATGGAAGCGGGGTGCTACTAGGCATTTGGTAGCATGCTGAATTCTGGGGGGTAGAAAAATATCAGGAAACAAAAGTCCTTTCCTCAAGGGGGTAACCAACTGGTAGTGGGAGGTAAAATTAAAATATGTGAATAATCGGTAAACAAAACAAGTCTTGAAGACCACCCATTACCACTACCCCTCTGGGACTCTCCTGGCTTTGTTTTATGAGGGAATTTGACACACTCGTGTTAGATCACCACCCCCCATCAATTTACTGATGAAGAAATCCAGGCTTAGTGGAGTCAGAGTGAGTTGCCTAAGTCATGGAACCACAAGAAGTGAAGAACTTGAAACCAAGTTTCTTGTCCTTTTAAAAAAAAAAATTGGCCTCTTGTTCTCCTGTTCCTTAAAAAAAAAAAAAAAAAAAAAAAAAAGGCCCCTATTCTAAGATAGCATCTTGAACTTGAAATTCACAAGAAGCTTGATTAGCTTCTAAGATCAAGTTCTGGCATTTCTTCCCCTTTTCCCAAAGGCTCCGTCCAGCGCCAGCCTGGGAGGACTGGAGGGCGGCTGCGGAGAGGGGCCGGGAGGCGGCTCAGAGCCAGCACAGAGCTCAGCAGAACTTCCTGGCCCAAGAATGTGCTGTTGATTTTTTTTTTCCCCTGCACGAAACAGGGCTCGAGAAAACTCTGCCACTGACGTGTTCTGGGGCTGAAAGCCAGTTACTTAATCTTTGCCATCCCTGGCTCTCTCCTTGGGAAGTGGGGCTTGAATTCTTGATAGAAACGTGTGGGGACACAAAGTACCCAAACGAATGGTTCCCAGGCAGCTCCGAGCTGTCCCCGTGTGCGAGCCGCCTCTCCTCAAAGGGTTAACTCGGCGGGGCTCGCCGGCCTGAAATACTATACCAGCAACGCATCCTTGCAGCACAAACTCCACTGTCATTTTCTCAGCTAAGATGGTCTCTGTGCGAACAAGTTAAAGGAGGGGAGAGGAAGACAGAGGAAAGTAGAGGCAGAACGTTTCAGTAAAGGAGAAACAGCGTGCTTTGGAAAGTAGGTCAGAGGTGACGAAATAAGACCAGGCAAGTGGTAACTCCGAGTAACTTACCTTAGAACCACCACGGACAGACAGACCGGTCCCGGAGAGTGGTCGGCTCTCGGCGGCTTCTCGTCTCTCTCCACCTTGGGTCGCCCTGGGCCTTCCTCCCCCCTCTCCCGGCCCAGGTAAGTAGAAGAACAGGCTCTGAAGCAGGAAGTGGAAGCTGTATGCAAATTTCTACGGAGCCTAGGAAGCTCTGCTCAAAATCTCCCTGTGGGCAGTGAATCAACGGCTGAGGAGTCACTATTTCTTAAAACAGAAACCTCCTTCATTCATGAGAAAGGGCCAGTGACCAATTAGGCGGCATTTTTTTTTCGCCACCCAGCTAAGAAGCTGCCCAGGAGTGGGCCGAACCTCAGTGTAGTCGCAGTGCCCTCGCCTGGGAGGGTATCTCCGGGAGGATATTGAACTTGAGGGTTAAGAATGACTAATCATTAGCAGCATCAAAGAGGGGATTGGGGGCAGATAATGGGGAGGAAGAGGGAGCGGAGCTTCTTGCATCTTCTCTAACTGCTTAAAACATCAGTATTTGCTGCCTATAACCACTGAGCCGGGGGGCTCACTGACCATGCCCCTGGACACACGTGTACACACATGCCTGTGGCCTGTGCACAGGCCACCCTATTGTCAGGCACAAAAAATGTGGTTAATTTTAAGAACACACACACACATACATACACATGCACACATGCACTCTAACCTCTGGCTGCATTTTCCTGACCTCCAGTTTATTTTCTCCCCTTCCCTTGCCATTGTTTAATCAGTAGCCTGCAGAATGTATTGCATGAAGGAGCGCTGCAGGCAGGATGATACCCAGTGATGTGAAGAGACAGAGAGAGAGAGAGAGAGAGAGAAGACACAACTGCCTTTCCGGGCAGCAGGGGGTGATGGGAGCGGTGTTAGCTGGAGCTTTGGAGTCAGGAGGACCTGGGTACGAACTCAGCCATGTCACTGGCCACTGGGCGCCCTGGGCAGGCACACCATGCTCCTGGTGCTGGACTTGTCTGCCTGTTGAAGGGGTCCAAATGTCAGTCCACTCAGCCGGCTATCTCTCTACTCTGGGGACAGGCCCCAGAGCATCCCTGTTCAGACTGTACCAGGTTCTGCTCAAACAGGATACAGGAAGCAGGTTGCTCAACATTCCACAAGCGGAGAAAATGCAGCTCGTTGTTAACACGATATACACAGGTTGTTTGCATTTTGGTATATCCTTACAACAGAATATGATGCAGCTATTAAAAATCATCAATATGTATTATCTGAGCCACTAACATGAAAAAGTGACTCAGATATATTATTTAATGAAAAGTATTATCTTATTTTTTGCTAATATATGTGACATACACACACACATAGATATGTATATCGATTTTTTTAAGAGACAGGGTCTCAGTCTGTTGCCTAGGCTGGAGTGCAGTGGTGCAATTATAGCTCACTGCAGCCTTGACCTCCTGAGCCCAAACAATCCTCTTGCCTCAGTCTCCTGGGTAGCTGGGACTACAGGTGCACACCACCACACCTGGCTAATTTTTTAATTTTTTCTAGAGACAGGATCTCCCTGTGTTGCTGAGGTTGGTCTTGAACTCCTGATCTCAAGGGATCCTCCCACCTTAGCCTCCCAAAGTGCTGGGATTACAGGTGTGCATCATTGCACCCAGCCCAACATATAGATTTGTGTTTGCTCACCACTGGGCCCCAGGGGACCTAGCACACTGCCCTGCCTAGAACATTGTAGGCAATCACTGTGTATCTGTTCAGTGACCAAGTTAGAAATATCTGGCAAGATGTACGCCAAACTGTTTAGTGGTGCTCACTTCAAGGGAATGCAATTGAGGAAAATAAGTGAGGATGGAGGGCTTTATGATATATACATATGGACTATTTGATTCCTTTTTTCACAATAACATATAGGACTTTTTCATTTAAAAGAATGAAGCTTTTTAAAAAAATGTATTACCTTGGCTTTGAAGTTTCTGCTTCAAAATTATTATTAGAGTCATCTTTTGGAGAATAGGAAAAAATAACATTTTCTGTGGTCTAGTTGGTACCAGGATACTTTGAAAGAGCTACTGGAGTAGGAAATGGGAACAGAAAAGCAAAGAAGAATGGCAAGGGGAGGAGCTAGGAGGGAGAGCAAGGGGAGCGGGAGCAGAAATATTTTTCATTTCTCTTTGTTGTCCTTAAATGGATTGGGAAAGGCCTGAAGATGCTCTGCCGAGTACCACCTCTGAAATACAGCCTGCCAGGGAGAACGAAGGGAAACTTGTCTCCAGTTCTCCACCAACTATTTTCCTGGGTGTGCGACCTGAGGGCCCTGTAGGAAGAACACCAGGTGCCGAAGTGCTGCTTTTCATTGCTGTTGGCTGGGCCTTCCTCTTGTCTACCTTTTTTTTTTTTTTTTTTTTTTTTGAGACAGTCTTACTTTGTCACCCAGGCTGGAGTGCAGTGGCACGATCACTGCAACCTCTGCCTCCTAGGTTCAAGCAATTGTCCCACCTCAGCCTCCCAAATAGCTGGGATTACAGGTACCCGCCACCACACCCAACTAATTTTCTGTATTTTAAGTAGAGACAGGGTTTCACCATGTTAGCCAGGCTGATCTCTAACTCCTGACCTCAGGTGATCCACTCACCTCCTGTCTAAATTTATCATGAGCAGAAAGGCAGGCACTTCAGGGAATGAGTTCATGGCTCCCTCCTAGAAGCCTCTGCTGGGGCCCCAGGCTGAAAAGCAGCCTGAGGATGGACACTGTTTAGAGAAGGTGTCCTGGACAGGAGAAACCTCCTCTGAACCTGCCTGAGGCAGTTACGGTGAAATACAGGTGGCCCGGGTGAACGCATACAGCTTTTGAGTTGCCGTCACAGGAGAGCAACTCTTCACTAAGGACCTACCCTACACTCCCTCTGAGCACATCTCATCCTCCAAACAGTCCTGTGAAGTGTGTTTACTGTCATTCCCACTTTACCTTTGAGGACTCTGAAGCTCAGAGATACTGAGTAACTTCTGCAAGCTCACACAGCTCATCTGTGGACGAGTCAAGCCCAGAGCAGTCTCCCTTCTAGGTGGATGTTACTACTGCCCCCTCCCTGCGCCCCGCCACAGCCCCCCAACCCCTACCCTCCTTTGCCCTGTTGCCGTCTGTTCTTCCTACATGCTTGGGTGGAACACAGGTAACTTGCTTTCTTTGCACAACTCTTGACAACTCTCAAGAAGGGAAAAAAAGGTGTAGACAATGAAAGGATGGGGTTGTGACTGTGCCACAGCCTGGCGCTGTGTTTATATGGTAAGGGTTGCTGTACAGATCATAAATAGAATAGTCAAGATGTGGGGCAGCCTTCTCCATGCTGTTAGAAATCTAGAAGGGGAGCATGTGTGTTTGGCAGGTCCTAGAGTTTGCTCAGTGAATTCGTCAGGGTTCTGCACAGAGAGAATCAATAGGATTACCTCCGTGATTATGGAGGCCGAGAAGTACTGTGACAGGCTGTCTGTGAGCCAGATACCCCAGGATGCTGGTAGCGTGGCTTATTCCCAGTCTGAAGGCCTCAGGACCAGGGGAGTTGATGGTGTAACTCTCAGGCAAGGCCAAAGGCCTGAAAACCCAGAGGCCACTGGTGTAAATGCTGGAGTCCAAAGGCTTGAGAGCCTGGAGTCCTTGTCCAATAACAGGAGAGGAAGAGTATAACTCAGTTCCAGCAGACAGATTGACCCATTCACCTTTTCTCTGATTTTGTTCTCTCTGGACCCCCAGCAGATTGAATAGTACCCACTCACATTCAGCGTGGCTCTTCCCCACTTAGTCCACTCAGACTCGCATGCTAATCTCCTCTGGAAATACCCTCACAGGCACACCCAAAATGAATGCTTTACCAGGTTTCCAAACATTCCTTAATCCAGCCAAGTTAATACCTAACCATCACACTCAGTGTCATTGTCCATTCCAGCTGCTGTAACAGAATATCATAGACTGGGTGGCTTAAACAGCGCACATTTATTTCTCATAGTTCAGGAGGCTGGAAAGTCCAAGATCAAGGCACTGGAAAATCTGGTGTCTGGTGAAGTGTCACCTCCTGGTTCATAGTGGCCATCTTCTCATTGTGTCCTCACATGGTAGAAAAGAGGCTGAAGAGTTCTCTGAGGTCTCTTTTACAAGGACACTGATCTCATTCATGAGGTCTCCACCTCATGACTTAATTACCTCCCAAAAGCCCTACCTCCTGATACCATTATATTGGGGGTTGGGTTTTCAATATATGAATTTTGGGGGGATAAAACATTCAGTCTATAATACTTAGTGTATTAGTCCATTTTCACACTGCTGATAAAGATATACCCAGCATCGGGTAATTTATAGAGTGAAAAGGGTTTAATGAACTTATAGTTCCGTGAGGCTGGGGAGGCCTCACAATCATGGCAGAAGGCGAGGAGCAAATCACATCTTACATGGATGGCAACTGGCAAAGAGAGGGCTTGTGCAAGGAAACTCCCCTTTTTAAAACCATCAGATCTCATGAGACTTATTCACTGTCATGAGAACGGCATGGGAAAAACCTGCCTCCATGATTCAATAATCTCCCACCAGGTCCCTTCCACAACACGTGAAAATTCAAGATGAGATTTGAGTGGGGACACAGCCAAACCATATCACTTAGTATTTTTTAAAAAGGTATAAGAAGATAGAGAATATCTTATCCCACTCCCATAAACAAAACCGACCAAACCATTTGGATCTAATGCTTAGAAACTCTCTATTCTATAGCATTCATATATGGAAAGAAATGAAAAGGGAAAGGATTCATTCCTTGGACAAACCTTGATTTTACATTTTTAAAAACTATGATTTCAAGCACTAAAAAGACAGAGTGAAACTATGATATTTCATGTGGAAGAGAAGACAATTACCATCATGTTCTTCCCTGAGAAGGGCCCTTGTCCAAAGGGTCCAGTGTGCTCAAATACCAACAGGCTAACTCTCCCCACAGCCCTTCAGTGGACAGTCACTGCTAGGGTCCAAATGTCTGTGACCCCCCAAAATCTATGTTGAAAATCCTATCTGCAATATGATGGTATTAAGACATGGGGCCTGTAGGAGGTGATTAGGTCATGAGGGTGGAGCCCTCAGGCATGG